ATCCCATAACTGGATGTCGGAACTGAGTGCATTCTTATTCTCTCCTTCCTTATTTTTGGAGCTGAGAACAAGTAGAATCACCACCTCTTTCATTGAAAGGAATGTTACTTGTGAAATGGGTCTCCGTTTTTAGTGGGATTAAAAATAACTTGAGGCCCAGTCATGAAGCCTCTGGTTACCATCTATGACTCACTTGCTTTAGTTTTGTTGTGTGAATTTTTGTGAAGAAACAGCCATATTTTAAAATAACATTTCCTTAAAGGATTTGTAGAGCAGGAGTGGGAAAGACAAGTGAAGTGGGCAGAGAAGAAATCAGGGGCCTACCTTCATTTATTTTCAGGTGAGTTGAAGACCTTTAATAGCCAAATACCTTTTTTAAGTCTGTGGAACTGGGAAGCAGACAGCCCTGTACACCATTTGTTTGGTCATTTCACCTGAGAGGCAGCCCCTGAGTCACAGGCCACCCACAGTTGGCCGGTCTGGCCATCCCAGGGACTCGGAGAAGGTGGTCTGTGCCTGGCTGGGGTTTTCCACATTCAATAGCAGGAGCAGAAAGCACATACCACTGAGACTGACATCAGGGAGTCAATTAGGTTCCAGCAGGTTACTGCCCCTGCAAGAAAGATAATGACATTTTTGGGGCTGAAACTATATATTTGCTCCTCTCTGAGTACTGCTGAATGGACTCAGACCCCTGGCCGAGTCTCCTGGTGTGCCAGGCAAGGCTGCCTTAGAACCTGGAAGTAGGCACAGGGCTGAAGATCCTGGCTTCAGAAACTTGCGAGTGGGCTCTAAATCTCCAAGCACCTTGACTGACATTGTTCAACACTTCATTATAGGCATGAAAGCCAAAAGAAGTACCCAAAGAGAGAAAAACTGTAGCAAAAGAATTCTTCCAACAAAACAATTCGACAGATGGCAAACCACTGAGTGACAAGGATTGTGTGTGTCACTCTGTTTTATGGAAGGGTAGGGACAGTCTTGTATTGTCACTCACATTGGTGTTAAGGCAAAGCCAGGATTATATGTACATTTCGTTTTCTGATGCAAAAGCCATTTTGAATAATTAAAATATTAAAACCTTCAGTAGGAGGGCTGCTTTTATAAGCTGAATTTCCTTGGCTGACTTTTAGGGGAGCAGAGTAGGAATCACTGCTACAGTGAGGCAGTGTATCTGAGAAGCATTCCGTATCCCTCTGCTGTGTTGGGTGGACACAGGGCTGGGATGCTGGGCCTCGTGGAAGAAATGCAGAAGTTACCCAGTTGAAAAGACCCTTTCTGGGCTCTGCTCATGGTAGGCATCCTTTCCTCATCTAGAAAACTGTTTATTTAAGGTGCCCCAAGGTAGAATAAACTGATTCTTTTGATTCAATGAGAATGGTTTCTGAGGACAGTATACCCCTCCATCAAAGACGTATTTAGTGATAACTGATACGACATGAGCTGTACTGGCTTGGTAAAAATTAAAATCAGTGTGTTCACATTAGATAATAAGGTATGCAAATTTTTAATTGGATAATTTCAAAAGTCTAGTTTTATGCACAGAATTTTAAATAATGCAAATCATCGCACATTTTAAAAGTCTGTCAAGAGCCACAGAATTTCAAAGCTGGCAGGCTGAGCATGTTTTAACAGTGCTACATATCGGCATGGGAAATAGACACCCGACCCTGCACGAGCAGTGCCCTGGGATTCCTTCACTGCCTTCGCCTGGGACTTCTGCAAAGGATTTTGGTGACCACTGCACAGTCTTCCCAGGACCACTTGGGTGTGAAATCAGAACACAGCCATGGAGATACTGAGTTTCAGTCTGAATTTCAGCTTCACAGATTTTAGGCCAATCTAGCCACACTGGCTTTGGAAATATTATATGTCCCCATATTCACTATTGCAATTTACAATATCTTTGCATCTTATAACAATAATGTAATCCTTAACATGGACTGAACACTTTTCATGTCCCAGAAGCTGTTCTAATCCCAACACCTCACTGAGGCATAGTATTATTATTGGCCCATTTTAAAGATGTTAAACCTTGATACATAGGAGTTAAGTATCTCACTCAAGGTCACTCAGCAACTACGTGGGGACCAGGATTCACAACCAGGCAAGCTGGTGTGGCCCTCCCCTTCCTCTGGTGGCACAGTCCTAGGAGGCAAGCCTGTCCTAGCATTCTTTCAGCTAAACCTCAACCCCAGGCACAAGTTCTCCAAAACCACCATCTTTGGAAGAAACCATCCAAAACCACCATCTTTGGAAGAAATTAGGCCTAGTAAATGATACAAAGATGGCACAGTAACCACCCTGAAACACTAGAAAATATATTCCCTCTCTTGTGTTACTATTGGAAAACTTGTCTTGCATTTTGTTAATTTATAATTATGCAGCTTTCATTCATAGAATATCAGTCCTGACCGCTAGAACCTACAGTTGAGTTTAGAGTAGCATCTGCCATTTGAGTGGTTGCAGTTTGCTGGCACCACACTAAGTAAGCCTTTCTGCACAGTCTCCCTCCTCCCACCAGTCCTGCTGGTGGGTATTGTCAACCCAGTCATGTCTTCGAGATGGCAGACTGGCATCCAGACTCCCTACTCAGGGACACTCTCTAACCTAACTCAAGTCTTTCTGAGCAGGAAAACTCAACTTCCAGGCTCTCCATCTCAAGATATAAAGGTGATATAGTAAAATTGGTAATAATAAAAATAATTTTTATGTTCAGCATGTTCCTGAGATCACAAGTGAGCAGGCACAGAGAACCTGGCACCAGGCAGGGGATCGGCAGCCTAGCAGCCTAGCAGGTGGTTGCAGACCTTTCCCCACTGCCCGTGGCATGAAGGGCCTGTTGCCCACTAAGTTCTCTTCATCCTTTGAAAAGATTTCACCTCCATTCAAAAGGATAGTTTGATTTAATAAGGACACTGTTAACAGAATTCAAAAGCCATAGAAAGCACAGAGCTAGCCTGGGGTTGAGTGAGCAGCATAGAGCTAGAGTTCCTGATGTGGTTGTGACCTGGAGGTCATGGCTACTTGCACTGACTGAAGTCCCCGTCTTTCAGAGCTCAGTGTCTTTCCAAGTGGCTGTCTCAGCAGCCAATGCAGTTGGCTTCCAAATTATGGTGTGGAAATTTTTATTGCCTGGGAGCAGAATGGTCATGGCGCATACCTTCCTTTATTTGTGAATTATAGGAATCTGATGACCATCACTCGACTTCTCTGTACCTCCACAGCACAAGATTCAATAATCATGTCTTTTAAAAGTCCTATACATTTTGGAAACTATACGTAATTGATTTACAAAGGGCATGAGTTAGAGATACATATGTGATTTGTTTTTCTTTTAAGTCCATGTTTTTCAGCAAAAAAACTGATTGATTGATTGATTGATGCAGTGATTCTTTTCCAGAATAAAGCCTTGCTTTGCTCAGGCCTTAATCCCTAAGAGTACACAGCTTTACCTCTTGGTTTGCCAGGAAGGCCCCCGGTGCCTCTGGTAGCTGGGCCTGCAGGCTCGCTCTGTGACGCCCCACCGGGTTTTCAGGGCTTGTTTTGTACGTGCTCCTTGTCCAACCTGACAGCTTCATTAAAGAACATTCACATTTGTCAACATACTGGTTTTTCGAAGAAGATGTGAAGTTTCCCTTTAGAACTTGCAGCCTTACTTTGTTGGCTGAACTACACTACAAGGAGGGAGATAACCTATTTACATACTAAAAAGGTCAGTGTTGGACAATCAGCATTAAGAGACAAATGTGCTGCTGCTTACAACTGGAGCATAAGAATGTGGGAGGCAGCCACAATTCTGCTCTCTATATGTATAGACAGCAAGCATTGGTAAATATGCAGGATGTCTGAGCCTGACACCAGGGTGGGGGGGGGGGGGGGGGGGGGATGGTTGGGCAGCCGAAGGAAAGGGCTGTGTCAGGATGCTGCCTTCTTCCCTTTCTTCTCCTTCTTTTTTCTAAACACTTTCATGCCTTGTAGTTCTTTTGCTTTCTCTTCCTTTTCTCTCTACTACCCTCCATCTTCCATATCAGCTGACCCAGAGGGCACAGCTTACTCCTCGGACACCGACACCACCATCAAGCACGGCCCTGATGGACCCTTTGATGCAGCCCTTCAACTCGCTGACGCTTTGGAAAGCCCATCGCCAGTGATGCCGCCCGCTAGCCAGACCAACAAGGACAACCAAACCACCGACTTGAGGACAGCTGAAATCCCTTGATTGAAGAGGCCAGCAACCTTCTACAGGAACAAGGCTCTTTGTGCAATCCATCCACTATGTTTATAGCTATGCTTATTGTCATTGCTTGCCAGTCTTCTTCCGAGTCTTAAACAGCCCAATCTGAGAGGTGGCCACTGATTACACGTGCTATCATTTAAAAAACAAAAAAGGGGGAATTTGCTGGAAGCCGGTCCATCCTTGCTGCTTGACACAGTCGCTGCAGGGAAGAAACATCTGCACAGCATATGTTTCAAGGGACCTGGCATATATAGCATATTGTTCTTAATATGTTTGCTCTCCTTAGTGCCATGTGTTTTAACCAAGGTCACCTCTCCGAGAAAGGTTGTTTCCCCAGGTGGGGATTTTTCCCCGAGGTTAGGGAGGGGATACAACCCCTTAACTAAGTGCCAGGCGGGTAGTTAAGCTACATAATCTTTACTCCCTGGAATGGAGATAAGAAACGCCCTAACCTTTGTAATAGAAATTGACAGGATTAAAATCGGCTGGTATAAATATAGATGTAACAAGACAATAAACATCAGATCCTAATCAGATCCTAACCAGAACTTGGCTGGAGATCCTGGCTAGAGGTCCTGACTAGGCGGCTGATCAACTGAAGGCTGTCTCCGTGTCATTCCTTCTTCGCCGACTCCGTCCACACCTTTGGGGACCCCTGGACCTGCTGGGGTTGGACCCCAGCACAACCTGGATCAGGCCTCTGTGACTCTGTGACGAGAGGCTGACAAACCCCGTCTGCTTCCCTACCTGCCTCTCTTAGCTCACTCGGTGGAGCATACGCAGCGGGCCCTGCACCAGTCCATCTTCATGACGTCCGTGTCCACCCACCCTTTCCGGGACCTCCCCCTGGGCAGGGAGCAACACCGCAAGCTGCTTCCAGGAGTGGCCAACATCCGGGCCGGCGAGGTGGCCCGATGGACCGTGGACCAGGTGAGTGGAACTGCCCTGGGACCATGGGACGGACATGCCCAGCTGCTGAGAGCTTCTCTTAGGCACTGGATTCACTGTTTCAAGTTTAAGACCCACATTTGCGGGAGAAGGCAGGCATGACTTTGAGGGAATTTGGGAAGCCCAGGAGGTGTTGCCCTCCTCTCCCCATCCATATCCTAGCACCACGGGCCCTGGGCTCATTCAGCAGAGGGCCAAGCCTCCAGTCCCTCACTGAGGTGCAGTGTGAGGAAGGAGCCCCACCTGTATAAGCATCAAAGCCGTGTGTGCTGACAGCTCCTGTCCCGAGCAGCATGCTGAGAGCCCCCACCCAGGGTGGCCTGTGCCCTGCAGGGATGCCGCTGCTGGTGCCCACAGGCCCTGAGGACCTGAGTTCTCTCTGCTGAGCAGCTAGCTCCATGCTGCCCATTTGTCCATCGAAGACAGAGTTTAAAGTAAATTAGATCACAACATTGCATAAGATGCTGCAGCAGAGAGAAACATGGGCCTTACACTGCTGGTTTTTAATAAAAGTCCCATTGCTTACTGCAATGCTGTAGAAATGCTTTACATTTAAAAGCAGCCATCTTTTGAGGAAGACGTCCTGGACTGGCATTGCTTTTGATAAAGGTATTGTTTTCATTAGTCAAGCCTTAATTACTGTTCTTAAATGAATGAAAACCCTTAAATGAAGGACAAGATTAGAGCAGGACTTAAATTAGTCACAGAATGTTCACTGGGCACTTACTGCATCAGTCTCACTAATCTTGGTTTAAGCCTTCCTTTCCCGCCTGGACAAGCAGCAGGTGAAGGGCCACCCACAGGTACAGGGATGGAGGAGCCCTGCCCCCTCCTCTTTCCCAGGCACTTCACTCCAGCCACCTGGTGGGTTCCCCCTGCCCAGCATCCCTGCCCAGCCTTCCTCCACCTGGAGCTGAGGGCCGGCATCTTTTCCCCCCGCACACCCGCCTGCTCGCTTCTCCTCCCACTCCTGCCGAAGGGCCTGGTAACAGCCAGTGGACTGAGTCAGGAGCTGGCTGGGTGTTTGGGGAAATGACTAAACATGATCCTGCTGCTTCAAGAGTATGCAGAATCTGGCCCCCTACCCCTGTTTATGAATTTTTACCAGTTTACAAAGCATGCATCAGCTTCATGACCATGCCAACTGATTAAAATCTATTGTATCTGTAATCAAATCATGTATGGTTTTGCCCTTGAAACACTGCACAAAATGAGGAGGTCAACTGAGAACAGTGGCAAGTCATTCATTCCTGCCTTTCAAGCTATTCATCTGAAGTTTTACCTTTTTAAAGACTGAGAGTGGCTGAGCTCCTGGCCCCTCGCACTGTCACTGTCCTGCTCAGAAAGAGGAGGGGAGGGCAGCCACCCGATCCAGCCCCAGCCCTACCTGTGTGTGCAGAGCCACTACATCCGGAGAATGAGCGAATGTGGTAGAGAAGGGAGAATTCTGGGTGTGTCTCCGCCCAACTTAAACCAGTCCCTGGCTCCCCAACCACATCCTCAGCATGGGCTGTCCTTGCCTGCATTTTCAGTCCGACCTTCTACCCTGCCCCACTTGGTCCTCCCAGTCTGGGCTACGGAATCTGGCTCCTCCCCAGCCCCTGCATGTTGTTCTCATACTTGCACAGCTGCTACCCTGCCTCAGATTCCCCTCCCTCTCTGCCTGCTGCCTCCGCAGCCAACAGCCCCGCGCTCACTTCCTGCAGAAGCCTCTGGGCTAGGTCGGACTTCCTCTCTGTGCTCCCATTTCATCTGAGCCTCTGTCTGCCCCTACAACGTGCTTATCTGACCCACGAGCACATGAGGAGAGACCTGATTTCACTCACTCCGCATATGTCTTAAGAACCTCTTGCTACACCTGGCACTTAGTAAATAATACTGTAAACGTTTGTTGAATGAATGTTGCATGACAAAGACATCCTGAGCTAGATTCTGAATCCAAAAGTGAGATACATCCAAGCAGAAAAAGAAGGGAAACCATTCCAGTTCCTATTCCATAAAGAAGGGAACAGCCCTAGCCAGTTTGACTAAAAGTGATCCTGCTGCTTCAAGAGTATGCAAAGTCTGGCCCTGTATCAGTGGATATAGCATCGGCCCGGGAACTGAAGAGTCCTGGGTTTGATTCTGGTCAAGGGCATGTACCTCGGTTGCAGGCTCCTCCCTGACCTGGGCCCTGGTCGGGGCATGTGCAGGAGGCAACCAATCAATGTGTTTCTCTCACATCGATGTTTCTCTCTCTGTGTCTCTCCCCCTCCCTTCCACTCTCTCTAAAAATCAATGGAAAAATATCCTCGATATCATCGGGTGAGGATTAACAAAAAAGGGGGGAACAACAGGAGGTTGCATGGGAGGGAGTAGACATATGCAAGGGTGACCGATACACAACACATCCTTTACTAACATTGGGAATGATAGCAAACAGTATTAATGTAATGATGATAAGGCAAGTAGTCTTATTTTTCCCATTTACAGATAGGAAAATTGAAGCACCAGAGACTAAGTAACTCCAGAGTCAGGTCTAGAGCTGTTGTATTACTCACCAGGCACACTGCGGACCTGGATACAGAAAGCAGTGACCTGGGATGGGGAGGGTGGGTCAGGCTTGAGGCCAGGCACTGGGCATGTGTGTGAGTCTGAGCTATCGTAGGTTCTTATGCAGAAAGTCACTTAGTGAAGATGATGCTTCAGGAAGATGAGAATGGCAAAGATCTGCAAAGAAGAGTAAAAGTGAGGTGAGGGCTAGGAGAGGGAGACGATGGGAAGTCACCAATGCTCCGGTGTGGACTAATAATTGGAGCCTGGACTGGACACCACATGAGAAGAACCACCCAAATCCAACAGACACTTTAAAGTCAAGTCAACAACACAGGGAAAGAGATACTGAGATGAAGAAATGAGTCAAATGTGATCCCAGCACTGCAGTTTGGAGTCCGGGGCGCTGGAGTTCATCGGAAAGAATGGGAAATAGTTGGTCGAAAGAAATGAAACTTTGGGGCAAGGATCCCGTTTGGAGGGAGGATAAGATGATGAATTCACAATGGGACACTTTGAGTTAGTGATCCCTGCAGAACACACCAGTGGGTATGGAACAAGGATTCCAATGGGCAGAAACAGGAGACAATCACGCAGAGAGAGCTGCAGGATGGGGGTCGATGGGACCAAGTTAGAAAGTGCAGGGGGCACTCTGAAGGGAAGGGGGAGTTGTGAAAGAAAAGTGTGTGGGGGGAGGGGGCTTCTGTGAGGGTTCAACAGCTGGGGCTGTAGAATTGAGCTCAGGGGATTTGGAAAAATTGTGTACATATGTATTTTTTTCCTTAAGAGGAGGGTCAAAATTAATAAAAGTTTTATTAGTTTTTCAAAGGGGACCATCATCCAAAAAGAATAGGAATCACTGTTTTAGGAACATTGAACAGTGAGTAGGGAATTTGCAGGGGCCTCATCTAACTAGCTTCAAGTCTGGCCCTGAACAAAAGTGAGAGATGAGAGGGTGATTAAGGGGAAGTAGATGGTCCAGGGGCAAGTCTCCTTAGGTTAAAGGTCTCAGAAGGAAGAGACTCATGGAGAGGGCCACAGGGAGAATGAGGGAGTGAGATCCCCACTCCTGCGTCTCTGTGGTGGTACACAGGAAGCCCAGCCTGTCTCTCTGGAAGAGCCCTTAGAGTCTTTCTAGATTAAAAATAAAGCAACCACAGGAGAGCCTGTCTTCAAGAAGTGCTCCTGGTGCTTCCTCGCCATGGCCTCCCTCGGGGATGAGTCCCAGAGAAAACTGCTGGGGTAGTTTTCTACTTTGTAGATCTCGGTCTTGATGTCTTCCTAACGAGATGCTCTTTAGGACCACATCCTATATTTATTTCACCATCCTCACACTCCTTAGCACATTTCCTGGCGCCAAACTAGGTCCTCAAGAAGAATCTCGGATGGGCTGAAAGTGAGGGCTTTCTGAAGGTTCTGTGTGCATCACTGACAATAAAGCAGCCCTCAGAAGGGAGTTCACTTAGGGGCCATTCCAGAGAGCACCAACAACCGAGTTTACGACTGTTACATGCACCACATTAAAAATGGCATGCAGGGGCCCTGGCCGGGTGGCTCGGTTGGTGGGCATGTCCTCCTGTACATCAAAAGGTTGCAGGTTTGATTCTCAGTCAGGGCACGTACCAAGGTTGTGGGTTCAATCCCTGGTCAGGCACTTAAAGGAAGCAAGGGATATCTCTCTCTCTCCGTCTCCTCCCTCTCATTCTCCCTCCCCCTCCCCCTCTCACTCTCACTCTCACTCTCCCTTCCTTTCTCTCTAAAATCAATAAAAACATATCCTTGGGTGAGGTTTTAAAAATAAAAGGCATGCAGGGTAGTGAGGATTTGAAAAGGCAGTTCGGGGTCAGGGAGCTTTGGGAGGAGGGGTGTTTTGGGGCTCTGTTCCCTTTGGAGCGGAACCACGCGGCGTGTTGAAAATGGTCTTGTGTGTCTTTGTGTTAAGAGCCATTCAGTGAGACTTAAGGGGGGTGGCTGTCTACGCTAGAAGATGAAGCAGCGCAAGAACGTTCCCTTGGTCTGCCTTCCTGGCCGGGGAGGAAGACCTCTGCTCTGCTCTGTGTCGCCTGTGGAGAGAAGCCGGACCAGGCAGGGCCTCCTAACATTCCCCAGAGCACAGGAGCTGGCTTTTAGCACCTTTGTCGGCCGTGGCTGTTTCTGCTGGAGCAGTGTTTGTCAAAGCACAGGTGGGCTTTGAAGTCCACTTAGTGGTTCTGAATGAAAGACAGGGCTGGATGAAGGTGCATAATTGTAGGAAAGGCTGTTCTGTGAAACCTTTATTAGAAACGGGTGGGTGTGTGCACACTCTCAGGTCAAGGTCAGTGTGAAGTGTATTTATTACTCTGGGTCATGGAAATATTCTATAGAAGAGTAAAGGTGTTTAAGAGTAGGGACTAAAACATCTTTAGAGCAAAAGTTTTGCTCTAAAGTAGGTGTCTGGCAAATGTGTGAGTGAGTGAGTGATGGGAAATAAACGTTATGCAGTACCCTCCTGCCAGGGGTCCGTGGGCACACAAGGGCTGGATGCAACTTGTTATATGTGCATTACAGCCACGAGTATGACTCAGGTATGTTTGGTTCACATATGGATACTTGTATTTCTTATTTTCAAAAATGCTTTACAAAGCTGCACGCATAAATCATGCCAGCCTCGCAAGTAAGTGCTCCCTTAGTGCCCATTAACTTTACAAGATGGCAGTCGCCTTAAAAGCAATCTTTACACAGGAGGGAGTGTTCTGAAAAATTCAGGGTATTGCTAACTAAGCATAGCAGCCTTATACCATCCAGCCCTAAAAGAAAAAAAAAAGAAAAAGAAAAGGCAAATAACCAACTCCACTGTTAAAAAATGAGACCTGGACTGGAAACATGGTCCCCGGTGGACTTGGAGCCAGTACAGTCAGGCACACAGCTACGGGCTCAGCAAAATAGCAGACACCTCCATTAGGAAAGATTTAGGGGAGCCGCATCCCCAATGAAGAGAACAAGGCCTGCTGAGCTCCAGGAGGACGCCAGGGAAAGTAGGTCGTGGGAAGATGGCTGGGCGCAGTGATGGGCTCATCTAGGAGCCTGCAGAGTCATCCTTCTTAGTCTTCTCCAAACTGCTGTGTCATCCAGGGTCCTTCCAGAACCGCTGGGCCTTTAGCTGTGGGACGCATGCTCTCAGGAACTCAGGGAACCACTGTGTCAGCCTCCACACGGTGTGCTTCCTGAAGCCAAGGCTGGTCGCCCACACCAGGTGCCTGCAGAGCTGCCCTTACCTGGGAAAGCGGACAGGTGCAAGCGGACGGCAGCTTCCTCTTCCTCGGAGGTCGCTCCCGTCTATCTGAACCGCTCCCCACATTTACCACAAACTTGAAGAAGAAAAGTTTTTGAGGAAAAAATGACAGGGAAACTCTCTGATGCTACCCCAGGGTATATTAAAGTTCATCAGTTTACATTTAGAAATTTTAGCAAAATGGGCTTTCTATTAAAGGCTAAGTATAATTTCTTAGGACACTAAATACTAACAATACTGAATAATGATCCTGAATAATGATCAAGGCCTTTGGATATTTAAAAATTCTGGCCAGAAAAGTCTGCCTCAAAAGATTTCATAGAACTTGTTCTTCACTTTGGAAAAAGAAAAAACAGATTGAATAGAATCAATCTCTTTAGAAAAAGACAGAATTTCAGGCACGTGGTAAAGCAAATAGATGTCACTGCTCCCTGCTGTCCTAGGAACACAGACTAAATGGCTGCCGGAGGCGGGGTAGAGAGGGGCGCCCCGCCCAGCTCAGGGCCACCTTGCTCGGCAGCGCTGATGTGTTTACTCTTTGGTTTAACACATTATTTATTCCCATTTAAAATCCAATCTACCTTTGCCATGGACAGTGATTTCTTGGCTAATACTGAGAAGAGGGAATGTGATCCTGTTTTTCATTCGTTTGCTCAGAAAAGAGCATTTTAACCTATGCACGGCCATCAACAACATGCAGCCGTGTGCTGGGAGCAGAAGTTCCTGGAGCATGTATTTAAAGAGGCCATGTCTCCAAACTTCACTTTGCCTGTGGCCAAGGTGTGGTCAGGGTGGAGCCCAGCCTCCTCTCTGCCTGTCCACCTCTCCCCTCTGCTCTCAGCTGTAGCCAAACTGGACCCTGCTTTGATGACACACAGGCCATGTGCCTGCTGCGGCCCTGGTCCTGGGATGCTCAGTGCTGAGGTCCCCTCTGCGCCCCCGAGTTGCCCCTGTGGAAATACCGTGCAGCTAGCATGCCATCTCAGCTACCACCTTCCTGTGCTGTGTTTGCTGAGTTCCCACCCAAGATGCCATCTGTCCCTTCTAGAAGCCCATAGCTCACATCTCTCTTCTGGATTTTATCATATTGGACCATGCGCATCGTGACTAGGAAGTTGTCCTTGACTAGCCATTTTCCCGCTACCTGCTACCACTAGTCAAACCTTAAACTCACTGAAAGTTCAGGCTCCACCTGACCTCCGGTCAGCCTTACCAGCACCCAGCAGAAGCCTCACAGGAAGCCGTGGCTGGGACAGACTTGGCCAGAAGAGCAGCCTAAGGATGAAAGGACTGCCTCTCAGTGTCCTGAGCCCCAAAAACACTAAGCCCTGCCGTCACCTGCCCCGGTGACCATCGGTATTCCAGGGCTCCCCTCAGAACCCTGAAAATACCAAACATGTGCTCCATGTGTCCAGTCCATCTAGGAAGCAGAAAACCTATTAACTCAGCAAGCAGTCTGGGCTTGGTGCATGGACTGCCAGTCTCAGCTCTCGGGTGCAGTAGCAGAGGCGGCCAGATTGAGGCCCACTGACACCTTCCTAGTGCCCCTAAGGCTTGAAGATGCCATTGTGTGGCAGCATAATGACTGGTTTTGAAGGATTTTTTTTTTTAATCATCATCATTCAACACTTTAGGATGATTGTAAATGACTCATGATAAAATATACGTGCGGCATCAGAGGTGAGTAAAGCAGACGTCAACATGCTGATTGCCCCTAAAAAGATGTTCTGAAACATTCATATTACACTGACTAAATGGAGCTGTGAGCCGATGGGACAGCTCTGTGTGCAGACACAGGTGTCAGGTGTCAGGTGCGCCCTGTGGTGTTGGCCCAGCCACTCTGCCAGCTGGAGATATTCCAACCCTGTGCTCTTCTTCTCTGCAAAGTGTGGGGAGGGGCCCACATCCACTCACACCTTGTGGGGCGCCAGCAGGGAGCAGGTACTCCCAGAGTCTTGACTGTAGAGCACGTGGACACGGCCCTGCACTCCCAGCCTTTCTCCTGGGCCTTCCCCACGAGACACGGGAGAGACGTGCAAGTGCACACTGTTCATCCACACCAGGGGCAGAGAGCCGGAAAGAAAGACAAAGCAAAAACCAACAAGACAGCTCCTCCTAGGAACATCTCCTCCCTGGATGCACTTGCCCTTGATTTCCAGCTTGCCTTCACTTCCTGCTCCAGCAGGTGCCAGGAGTGGCCACACCCAGTTGCCACTCTGGCTGTGGGGGGGGTCTATACTTCATTACGTTTGCTCACTCACCCCCCGAAAGTATCACTTGGGAACACCCAGTGGCTTCCTGAGCTTAGAGCCAGGTCTTAGTAAAAGGAATTCGGGGCATGTGGATGGAGAGGGAGGAAAAGGTAAGGCTGGGAAATTGAACCAAGAAAACTGATTTTCCAGAACACTGGGTTAAGAATCAGAAAACTTTAGTTCCAAAACCATCTTTGGCACTTACCGGCCATGCATGACCGTGAGTAAGTTACTGAGCCCCTTTGGGCTTCAGTGTCAGGTATTCCATGGGAATTCACTTCGCATTGATCCCCTGAGCCCCTATTGTTGGCCCGGACCCTGGGGAGGAAGTGGCCACTCAGGTGGATGAGACGGGCCTGGGCCTCGGGTCTGCCGAGAGGCAGCTGGATGCTCCTCCTCTCGCGGTCACTGGGATAAGTGCCAGGACCAGACTCCTCACCCCGGCCCTTTCTTGCCCCACATGGCGGGTGGGAGGGGCAGGTGAGAGAAGGTTCTAGAATGCCAGATCTCCTCACAGGTGGAGACTGTCACTGTCATCACGTAGGTCAGCCTGGAAATCAGAGGCCAGAAGAGAGATGAGGAGCTAAGCTAATGTGGCTTGGTCGTTATTATTTAAATCCCAAGTGTTGGAGGGGTTTGAAGTATATTTTAGTCCAATGTTGAACTTCTACAACCCAGGAAATGACCTCAGGTGATGTTTTAAGTCTGCTTTCATCCTGGCTGCAGGTGACTGAGTTCGTGCAGTCTCTGCTGGGCGGTGAAGAGCATGCAAAGTGCTTCAAGAAAGAGGTAGGAAATGTCCAATTCTATGTCTGTTTTATGCTTCTAGACCCAGAGGGGCCTTGTTTCCATTTCCTCCCGTAGAAATGAGAGCAGTTTGGGAGGCTGGAGAGGGGGCCCCGGCGGGAAAGAGCCCGCAGCAGCCCGCCCGCAGGCAGCCTGTCTGGCTTGGGGTGTTTGCTATGGTTCCCGGCTCACAGCCTGCGGAGCCAGTGGGCCACTCGAGCACGGGGTTGGTACTCACAGCATCCAGAAGCCTCTGCACTGCGGCTCTAGGCTACACGGGGCAGGGAGGGGTCCCACATGTGCCTGCCCCCGGAGGGAGGGGCTTGTCTGCTCCAGAGTGAAAGTGACCGTCCTGTGTGTCTGGCGCTTGGGCTGCTCAGGAGGGATGCAGAGAAGCCACGAAATCCTTCTGTGCAGGGGCGGGGGTGGGGGGTCTCTTCCCTCTTCCTCTCAGTACGAACATACCAACTGCTTACCATTTGTCCTGGAATTGCTATCCATAGCTCCAGGGACCCCAGAAGAGACTGCCAGCTGCAGAGCAGTAATGCAAGTAGCAATGATAGCTATTGTGCATCAGGGGCTTGCCTGTGCCTGGCCCTGAGCCATCCCTGTGCAGTTGTCCTCCTGGGTCCTCATAGCTCTACAGCACAGCTCACCAGTGCAGAACCTCAGGCGTGGGGAGGAAAGCACAGTCAGGGTGCAGCCCATATGCACCCGCTTCCAGAGCTTCCATCATTGCTCTAGAACTCTCCAAGAACACTGTTCCTGGGGACTCTGGGGTGCAACATACACTCTCCCTCTCCAGATGTCAGGGCCGCCTGGCTCAGGGGAAGCACTCTTTGAGTTTGGGGTCCTGGACCCCTCAGAGCCCGGCGAGCCCTGCATTTTCAGGGAACTCAGCATCAGGGCCACTCGAGTCTCAGTCTGGGCAGCTGCCAGTGGAAACCCTGGTTCTGCCTAAGCCCAGCACAGCTTGGGCGTAGGTGGCCCAGCCTCACACATACGGGCCACTCTGCATTGAGCAACACCCAAGGCCCACCATGTCCACAAGTCTGCAGGTCAGGTCACTTGGGCTTGGCACTTTGACCAGCAGTGTCATCGGGGGCACATCACTTACCCCCTCTGTGAACACAGGGTTCTGAAGGGGCCCTTTAAGGATTAGGACTAGTATGTTTACAGCACCTAGCCCAGCTTTTGCCCCAGAGTTGGGGCTTAATAAAGGGCAGTAATTAGACCAGCAGGTCTCCTCTGGAGGCCAAGGAGCCCTGCCCAGAAGCCCAACATACTCCCTGGAAGCTGTGTGACCTCAGGCAAGTCATCAGGCTCATTAACTAGCGTTTCTCACCCACCTTCTGGGGTTGTTAGAAGATCAAGCACGTAGAAGAGATTAGGATATCGCTCCATAAACCTTAGCTGTTATTATTGTCACCATCACCATCATTACCTGATTCATTATCTGGCCAGTAGCTACTGCCTGGGAATGCTGGAGCCCAGCCCAGCTTAGGGCATGGAAGCGGGCTTCTCTCCCTTTCTACCCTGTGGGAAAGGTGCTCCATTCTCCAAGTGGACAGTTCTTCATCAGGCAACATATCATCACACACAGGAAGCTTTTCAAAACTCTTAGAACTTTTAACCCCTCACCAGGAATCCCTGGGCGACCCCGCCTTACTCCGTGAGACATTCATACCTAGGGTTCCTATCATTAATTAAAAGGGTTGGAAACACACAGCTGGGTTCATGGGAAGGTGTTACCATAGAAAACCGTTTCAGTCTGTCCTTTTGTTTCTGGACCCAGGACTCATTCTGAGAGCCTGTGTGTAACTGGGTTATCTGGGTGTGGGCCACCCACTGCCTCCAGAGGCCAGCCTCTGAGGCCACTCTGGGCCTCTGGAAGCTGAGGGAAGACAGCCTGCACGGAGGCCACTTGCCGTCACGTGAATTTCAGGAAGGCTATGACATCTCAGACCACAGCATGCTTTAAAGCTAATGAATAGAACATTTATATGTATTATCATTGAAAAAATTAAAATACAGAATAGTTAAAAGGAGAAAATAACCAAACCACGATTTCACCAGCCAAAGGTAACTTCCCTTAACATTTGTACAAAGATTTTTAGTTTAACTTTGGATATGTATACGTAGCGGTCATGCACTTTTAATCTTACAAATGAAACAGATCTTTCTGTATCCTTATATTGTGTTTTGTGCTTAATAGTTCATGAAAAATTTCCCAAATCATTAAGTGTTTTTTTGAGACATGAATTTTGGTAACAGCCCTAGTACCGCATCCTAGGTGAGACCGGGATTTATCTACTTCTACTATTTTTGAGATGCTGGGTTGTTTTCAATAACTCACTATTATAAATAACACTAGAGTGCAGGCACTGCCCATTGTTCTCTCAGGGAATATTCCTGGAGTTTTACATGGTGGATGTAAGTGGGTTATTTTTAAGGCTCTTGATACAAATTCAGGCCAAGATATTTTATATGTAACAATAGAAATTTAGCCTGGGAGCAGTTAGTGTATATTGAATTCATATTTAGCAGAGTGAACACCTTTTAAATTGGACTTCCCTTCAGAGTCCTGAGCGATGGATGGGACTAGGGTTGTGAGGGCTGCCACCCCCCTCCCCCGTCTCTGAGCTTTGCAGGGAGGCCCCGGGGTCAGCTGGAGCAGCTCAGCACCCCGAGACACCAGGGGGATGGGCTTTCCTTTTCATTTCTGTTTATGTATCTACATGCAGCAGATCGACGGCAAAGCCTTCCTGCTCCTGACGCAGACGGACATCGTCAAGGTGATGAAGATCAAACTGGGCCCGGCGCTGAAGATTTACCATTCTGTCCTCATGTTCAGGAATTCCCAGGACCTCACTGAAGAAGATGCTGTCTCAGGCCCAGAAGTCAGGGGCTAAACGCACCACCCTGAGCTGCCGCCGCACTGTGACCTGGATCTTTCAGCAATAAGGTCGGCCCACACTGATTTGATTTTAATGTCCCCACGGTCATATCCATATTTAATCTGGACCTTTTCAATGGCTGCGGCTTATGCGTGTAGAGGGTTTTGATGACTGGCCAGTGCGGTGACACAGAGGCCCAGGTCTGTGAATGTCTTTACCTTCAGCAGGTCCTTTCAGCTCTGATGTGTTGCCCCAAACAGACCAAAGAAACCCACACATACACCTTTATTCATCTCCCTTGCCATTACAGAAGCCATTTCCCGTTTTGAAAGCATAAAATTCTCAAATGGTAAAATGTTAGAAAGATGGAACTCATAAATACATTGTTGGTGTTTTCACCAGGACGTCTGAGCTTGGCTCGGGCTTGCCATCTGGGTGCAGTGAGTCTGAGAGACAGAGGCTGGTGCTTTAAACAGATTTCATGAGATTTTTGTGTGCTTTACTCAGGAATGTGTGTCTTTAAAAAATAATAATAATAAGCACATGTTTTCATGATTTGTTAATTCTTTTTGTTCCATTAACCGTTTCTTGGTTGGGCTCCAAGGAGTAGCATGAAAACAGCCCCAGCAGTTAGCAGGAGCTGGGGAGGCCCTCCTGCGATCCCCCACCAGCAGTGCCCTACAGGCTGTGTGTGGGGCCACAGGGAGGCCCGTCCTGACACCGGCATTAGCCAGTGGGCCAGACGCCCACCTGCACCGAAGTCCTCCCGGCTGCCACTCCGAGGGGCCTCAGGAGAACGGGTTTGCCCTGCAGTCTGTCTGGTGTGTGATAAGGAGTGTGGTACATGTGGGCCTTGTGTGCACCTTTATAGGGACAGGCCACTAAAAGGGAGGGGGGATCTCTGGCAAGGGCGCTTGCTATCTGTTATTTGTTTGAACACTTCTGATTGATCAGACTTTATTTGTTTTGTGTAAGTGACTGTATCTGAGACTTAAGTTACCCACAGGGACCCAGTTCCACTGTTTTAAACACAGCACCTCTTTGCTGACACACACCTACACTAAGAGCTGCCGAAGCCCCCATGCGAGTGGAGGGCCACTGTCTTTCTTAGTGGGCAGAGGAGAGAAGTGGCTAGAAGAGACTCAGGCCTGACCATACCCATTTGCTTCATTTAGAGTCTTATGGTTTAAGAAAACGAATTCTGCTTGGAGAGTTTCTCCAATCGTAGGTCACTGAAAAAATATTTTCTAAGAGGTGTTGCAAATACTACATTTCTTTAGATCCTTACTCAAATGGAACTTTCATAAGTTATTGGTTGATATAAGTTTTTGTTTCTGTGGACCTTTGTTTTGTTTTGTTCTGTACTCTGCCATGTACAATTAAAATTCTTGCTTCTCCATGTTCAAATTTTAATATATTTTAAATGATAATAAACCGATAAAATGAAACATTCACCTCTCTGCCTGAATCTGTTGTTATAACCTGTTCCAGGCCACACCTGGAGGCTGCTGTCTTACAGCCTTGCATGGATAAAGGTCTTGCCGCATGGTTTAGCCAGCTAAGGAGTCACCATTTTTGAGTACTTGGGGTATGTTTCCTTAGGGACGTAAATTTGGCTGTTAATAACTTGAGAGTTTAATTTTAAAATCTAAAAATTGCTCATTGTAGAGGTTGATGGACGACATGAGGTTTGGGCTTGTATATTTAATACCTGTCATTTCAACATAAGGATCTAATACAGAACGGATAATATGGAGCCAAATTAAGGCTGAACTACTGTATTCCTAGAAGATAGTGTGATCAGATAGAAAGAGCTTGATCCACGTGTCTACCTGCTCCCTGGACTTCCTCATTTTGTCACCCAATATCTCAACCTGGACATACTCAAAAAGTAACTCAGATGGCCCCACCCTAGTATTCCTCACGTAAGTGGACAATACCATCATCACAATAGCTGCTCAAGCCAGGAAACTGAAACCGTGTCAATTTCTGGCCTATAAATTCTTCTCTGAACAGGACCTCACTGAACATAGAGACAAGAGCTCCCTCTGTGGCCCCAGCACCTGAAGGCATTCACACCTGGCCACGCCCTGCCTCTACCTTTCTCTTGGGCCCCTCTCACCTTGGTATTCGCTGATCCCTCTGAAGTGGTCTCTCCCATTCCCTCTCCCCTTCTCCAGTAGACGTTCTTACACGTTGACTGTAGGTTCCCATTCATGGCCCCACAGCAGCTGAGCCTCCCCATCACATTGCTCCTCACTCCTCACTGTTATTACTTGCTTCTCTCTCCCCACTAGTCCACAGGTCTGTGAGGACAAAGACCACGGCCTTCTTGTCATCACTTAAGCATCTGGCATTTAATTGGCACATGATAAGTCATTTGTTGCATCAATGAATGAAACAAACCAATCAAACTCTGATTCAAATCTCAGTTCTACAACTTCCTAAACAAGTGTAACTTCTCTCTAAAAGAAAATAATTCCTACCCCAAGAGCTTTTTCAAATTGTATTTGCCATGTACAATTAATGTACATCAAGGTAACCGAAAACACGTGTGTAAGGTGCCTGACACCTAATGTAGCTATTAAACAGATGTCAGGAATAAACAGCAACAGTAATCCATTTCTTGAACATTCTTCCAGGAAACTCCCACATGCAAACCCTGTGAATTTTCATCAAACCTGACCCCCAGGAGCCCACTCTTCTTAGTGTGGCTGTGTGTTAGGGGCCCAGGAGCATACGGGGCAGACCCTCGGGGCCTTGGTTGCCCTGACTCAGCTCTCCCATACCCAGAGTCCATGCCAACCAGGTCCCTTCCCTCTCCCCAGGCTCTCTAGAAAGGCTGCAACATCATGAGTTGAAATCTTTCGCTCTGACAGGAGGACCCCTAGCACCCTCAGGCAGCATCCTGAAATGCCCAGATGATGTGAAGGCCTCGGCAGCCTCTAGGTACCAGCCTCAGCCTTCACTCTCCTCCTCTTTTCCTGAGTCCCACTCATGAACCTGAGGGACAAAGCAAAACAAACTTCTAGGTTATTAGAAAGAGTCCCCCCAAAAGACCATTTGTACAACACATCCTAAGTACACATCATGATACTGGAAATTAGTCCATTAGCAAGAACCCTAAGGGAGTTTAGAACTTCTGAGACCACAGTCTTTAAATGCCTATAATTTCAAATAATTTTTGCAAAACTAAACTTCTCTCACTTCCAACAACAAACACATTCCAAGAAAAAATTATCCTCCATCAACTCTAAACATCTGTTTTCTCCCTCTGTGATTAGGTGCTAACCTTGTATAACCCGAATCCTAAACAGATTCCAGGAATGACAGCGCAGGAGTCGACTCCTTGTTAACGTGGAGCTGTGGGCTGACATCTTCCCTGGCTGAGTGCCAGCTCTCAAACATGCCTGGGATCTCTTGGTCAAGTCACCTTTGCCTGTGGAATCTCCATCTGCTGAGTGAGGGTGGGAAGCTGGGAAGTGCAGGGGAAAATACTTGGGCTTTGTAGCGGGGCCCAGGCTTGAATCCCGAGGCCTGTGCCTACTCAGTGCCTAATCTAGAAGTATTTCTTCACCACCCAGCAAACAGCTAACTTCCCACATTTACTCATTTCTTTTGAAGTATTGAGTTTTGATTATGTTATGTTTTGCTTCATATCATTTTAAAGAATGTTCAGTTTGTCTCTACAATTCCCAGGACTGAAAAATATACTCTTGAATGTGAAGTGCTCCTATGAATATATTCTTAATATTATCTCTTATACATAAATTCTTCTTAAAAACTTATCCTAAAAAATATATTTATAAGGAATTTATTTGTTAATAGATCCTTGAATAGTCAATATCCTTAAATATTCTATGAATAAAGATATATGTGAATATATAAATATTCACAAGAAATATGTCTTTTAAAATGTGTTTTGTTGTAGTCTCTCTGCCCTTCCGTCCCTAGCTGCAGCAGGGCGCTGGGGTGGCTGAACTCCTAAATGTGCTGCTGTGAAAACAAGGAAAATGGGTCAACTACCATGCACGTTCAGTGAGTAAACTTGCTGACTGGGCCATGTGGTGGACTGGAAATCACAACTCGATTTCTCAGTGAGGTTGCCTGTTCCCAAGTCTTTGCACCCTAACTCCTTTCAGGCAGATGATGGATTCTGAATTCAGTGATCAGTAAGACACAGCCCGGCTGCCACTGCGGAATGCCCGGGTGCCCACATGCCCAGGCTGGGATGCCCAGCAAGTCCAGAGCGCTTAATAGCAGCCATGAAGACTCAGCTCTTAAATGATGAGAGCAGAGGACTCTGGGCACGGTGACCATGGCCTGGTCCTTCTCTTGGGCACCACAGAGTATGAGGGACAAAGCTTTGCTGTCCAAATCACTGTTTGCTGTTTGGTCATAGGAATTGCATAGAGATGGAGAAAAGTGAGACAAAAGGATGTGTGGGGTTAAAAGAAAAAAAAAAAGAACCACCATTAAATAAAGAATAGAAAGCAAAAGGTGCAGAAATGAGACTGAGTTTAAAATATTGAGAGTTGTTCCTCCAAATAGTTCTATTTCATGGGATCAGAGTAGTTGTGTGCAGTTTTACCTGCAAGGCAACACCCATCAATTTCCCATTTACTTCAATTTGAAATTAGATTGTGTTCCCTTTGTGTGAGGAACCTAGACATCAAGGCAAATTGATGCAGGAAGAACATGAAGTGCTGAGAAATCCCAGGTTATACCCAGATGTTCCCACAGTGCATTTTCACCATCCTTTAACTGCAACTGATAGCAATTGTATTAAATACCACGGGGACCGTTGGAAACACAGGAGCCTGTATTTTACTGTGAAATGCTGGGTCTCAAAGGTCTCTTAGTAGGAAAATAATGTCAAGAACTACTGGTTATGATTAGCTCAAGTTTCATTTTTTAAAAACAAAGAAATAAAAAGTGTGTTTACAGGATGGGTTCTCCAAGGTGCCTGAGTTGCTTCGTCAACTAGTTACATGACTGGGAGGGTGTAGGACGTGCTCCCGTGGAGGCGGCTGCTTCTCTATAAACTGTCCCATGATTTGAGGTGAGGGTCTGCTCTGACACTTCGCTTCACAAGGCAATGGGGACTTGGTTTTGTTTAGTTTTGTTCTGTCCAAGAAGAAGCAATTCGAATCTCATTTGGCCTGTCTTCTCCAACAAAAAAGAAAGTTAAGCCAGTCAAAAATCAGTTTATTAAAGGAAAACACAGACAGGTTACTTGGTGTTGGTGATGGATTCTTTTTTCTT